CAGATTGAAAAGGAAAAGTTAAACTATATTCATAGGCAACATGATTACCTATGTAGACCAAAAAAGCTAGTAGAATTAATAAATGAGTTTAGCAAATTTGCAGGACACAAAATCAATATGCAGAAATCAATCGTTTCTATATACTAGCAATGAACAATTGGAAATTGAAATTTTAAAAATACCACATATAGTAGCATCAAAAAATATAAAATATGGATAAATCTGAAAAAAAAATGTGTTCATAGATTGGAAGACTCAATATTGTTAAGATGTCAATTCTCCCCAAGTTGATCTATAAATTCAATGAAATCCTGATGAAAATCCCAGCAGGTTTTTTTGAAGTAACTGAGAAGCCAATTTTAAAATTCATGTGAGAGTGCAAAGGATCTATAATAGCCAAAGCAATTTCCTTAAAAAGTTAAACATACACCTATCATATATCCTAGCCATTCTCCTTCTGAATATTTATCCAAGAAAAATAAAAGCATATGTCCACACAGTGACTTATGTGTTAGCATTTATAGCAGCTTTGTTTGTAATAGTCAAAAGCAGGAAACAACCCAAAAGACTATCAACAGGTGAATGAAAAAACAAAGTGTGATATATCCACACAATGGAATACTACTGAACATTGAAAAGAAATGAACTATCAATACATGTAACAAGACAAATGAATCTCAAAATGATTATGCTGAGTGAAAGAAGCTAGATTCCCCCCCTCAAAAAATATATAGTATATTATTTTATTTATACAAAATTTTAGAGAAATGAAAATGAGTCTGTAATAACAGATCAGTGGTTGCCTGGGAAGGGGATGGGGTCAGGAGATGAGGTAGGAGGGAGCAATTGCAAAGGAGTACAAGGAAACTTTTGGGGATGTTGGATATGTTCATTATCTTGACTGTGGTGATATTTCACAAGTGAATATATATGTCAAAACTTCTCAAATTGTTTTAAATATATGCAGTTTATTTATGTCAGTTAAACCTTAATAAAGCTGTTTCTTAAAAGCACAACAAAAGAGAACAGAACGAACATAGGTTCAGGAAGGGCTGAGGTGGAGGGCAGTGATCCTCTCTCTTGGCTTCACATTAGAATCCCCTTGGGTAGTTTTAAAAGTTCTGATGTCCAGGCTGCACCCCAGACCGACAAAATAGGAATTTCTGGGGGTGGTACCCTGGCATCAGCATCAGCTCCCCCAGGAGATTCTAATGAGCAGCCAACACTGAGAGTCAGTGGTACAGGGGATGAAAGAGAATGTGTGGCACATATGAGGAATACAAGGTATAAGGCACATATACCCACACTCTGCTCATATACATATATACATATGTGCAGGGTGTAGGAAGGATACAGAGTATTGGTGAAATATAGGCCATGAAAAGATGCCCATGGTAGTGGGATCCAATGTGAAAGTAAGATCCAAGGTTAGAAGGGCTACAGTAGTAGGCAGATAATGGATAGGAATAAATCATAACCGTGGAATGAACCATGTGTAAATTGGAAGTTCAGTCTCTAACAAAATTAGCATCTTGTATCTTGAGGAGATGGTAGGCAGAATCATCCAGGTCTCTGACCATGTGGTTGTTAATTTTCTTCTCCTTTGGGAGGTGCCTGCACAGTGGTCTAGGAAATTTCCACTGTCTTTAAACTGTCCTGAAGTTCTTTAAATTATTCTGTATTCAGAGAATGGAAGGAGGGATTCCCAGCTATGAGTAGCCAGGAACGGGCATAAAGGTCACGAGAGTAAGTGGCCTCAATTCTTCCTCTAAACTGAAGGTTCTCTAAATTTGGACTACATCAGCATCTCCTGGGGAGCATATGCCTAGAGTGGGGCCCAACTATCTGTAATTTTAAAAAGTCCCTGAGATTCCCAAAATTTCAGAATGACCGCTAACCCACTTCCTGAAGCCAATACCTGTTTAAAATGTTCCAAGTTCCCATCTAGTCTCAAAGCCCAGCTTACCAAGCGGGTGGAGAAGGATAATGAGTTTTAATTGATGAAGGGTTTCGGATCCCAGTTTATTGTGCAGAAGGCAGGGACAGGGCAGGGACAGGTCCAATGGAAAGAAAGAGTAAAATGGTACCTTCAATAGAGAGGAAGGGAGTCCTGGGGTATCTTAGTCATCTAGTGCTGCTATAGCAGAAATACCACAAGTGGATGGTTTTAACAAAGACAAGTTTATTTCCTTACAGTAAAGTAGGCTAAAAGTCCAAATTCAGGGTGTCAGCTCCAGGGGAAGGCTTTCTCTCTCTGTTGGCCTTCTCATCAATGTTCCCCCAGACTAGGAGCTTCTCTGCACAGGGACCCGGGCTCCAAACGACACACTGTGCTCCTGGCACTGCCTTCTTGGTGGTATAAGGTCCCCCTGTCTCTCTGCTGACTTCTCTCTTTTATATCTCAAGAGACTGCCTGAGGATACAATCCAATCTTGTAGATTGAGTCCTGCCTCACTAACACAACTGCTGCCCATCCTCCCTCATTAACATCATAGAGGCGGGGTTTACAACATATAGGAAAATCACACAATACCAAGAATCACGGCCCAGTCAAATTGATACACACATTTTTGGGGGGACATAATTCAATCTATGACACGGGGTGCTACAAACAGTTAACGTGCTTGGCTGGTAACCGAAAGGTTGGAGGTTTGAGTCTGCCTGGAGGTGCGCAGAAGAAAGGCTTGGCAACCTGCTTCTGAAAAATCAGCCTTTGAAAACCCTGTGGAGCACAGTTCTACTCTGACACACATGGGGTCGCCATGAGTTGGAAGCAACTTGATGGTAGCTGGTTATACAGGGGAAAAAAAGGTGCTGAAGGGGCCTCGGCTGAAACTCCTCATAGCTAGTGACAGTCACTCAACAGGGGTCACAAAGCCCAGGCAAGCCCCTGAGCAGAAGTGAGACTTTGTCACACACACATCCCTTCGAGTCTTGACAAGAAGAGAGTTCCAGGGCCCCTTGGTGTCTCTGCCACCCCCACTCATGATGTCATGGAAACTCCACAGTTTCTGTGTGGTTTGGCCCCTGAATTCAGCAGTCTGCCCTCAGCTGTGGTGAGGCAGCTGAAACCCTGGAAGTGTTGCTATAGATGACTAGAGTCAACAAGTAGTTGAGGGAGTGTGATGGGGCACAGCCTGGATCCTCCACCCAGGGAACCCACTAAGTCAGAAGAGTCAGGAGAAAGGGAAGAGATGAAAGAAGGACACAGGTAGGCAGGGTGGGCAGAGAGCACAAGGTCCCAACCAAGTCAGGCCAACTCCCATTTCTTGCCCAGGAGCCTTGAAAAACCCAGAAACTGCTGAATGAAAGCAGATATTTTTATTGGCTGAGTAAGGAAAGAAGGTACAGTTGATAAGTTATGCTCTTGTAAGCCACCAGTCTCAGGTTCACTTGTTCCGAGGCCAGTTTCCTCCGAGACGGCTGTACTGACCATCATTCCGATCTCTGAGGGGCTGAAAGATGAGAAGGGGGAACATGGAAGCAAGGTCAGAACTCTCCAGGGAAGGACTCCAGCAGGGCCCCAGAGGTGAGAGCTCACGTCTGACCTTTGCAGACCCTCAGTGATGAATTCCTCACCATGACCCTTCACACATACACATAACACCTAATGTCTATCCCTCTATCCCAATTCGCCCTTCCTCCCATTCCTGTCTCTTCCTCCTCAGGGCTCACCTGATAGAGCTGGTCATTCCTCAACAGAGCTTGAGTGTCAGCAGCTAGAAGAACCAGGGAAAGAGAGTCATCAAGGGCCTAGGAGGACAGGATGGTGAGACCCCAGAAGCACTACAAGGGGGGTTGCAGCTGGCCATACCCTCCCAGGCCCTCTGGAGTCTGCATAAGCAAGATGGGCACACAAGTTCTTTCGATGGCCAGTTGTAAGAGTCCTTAGGGGATAAGAGTCCCAAATGAGACTGAACCTCACCACTAGCCTCATTCCCTAGCAGGTGCATGAGATCATTGGCAAACCACACACACACTTTATCCCTTTGGCTTACCCCTAGAGAGCCTTCCAGTCTCATGTCCAGCAAAGCAGTAGACCCCCAAAGCGAGGAGCAGAGTGGCAATGATGTCAGTGATGACGATGCCAACCAGGGTGGTTGAGTCCAGCTCCACACAGTTCTGACACACTGTGGGAAGAGAGGAGAGAGGAGAAGTAAAGAGCCTTCAGGATCAGGGAGCCTACTCTGCCTCTGAGGGCAGCTCCAGGATCTCTCATGCCAAGACCCAGACTTCAGTAAGATCTTAGGAGAGAGGCCTGCTGATGGCCTGGCTATGTCCACCTCTACCCTTCATCCCAAAGAATCCCTGAGGAAAGTCAAGAAGTAGTCTCAGTCTTGTGGGACTATGAACAAGGAGATGGGCCAAACTACTCTCCCAACCAAGCCCCAGGCCCCTACTGCTCTTCCTCACTTAGCTAAGCTCTCTCTACCACTCTGAGGCCAGCAAAAGTTGGGCTTATACCATTACAAGAGAGTGGACCCAGTTTATTTAGAGAACAGATTGGTTCAAAACAGCCCCCTCCAGCCAGAAAGTTCTCATATGCAAAGGCCCCATCCATTCCAACCCAAAGGGTCCAGGAGGCACATACTTCGATAGTATACTTGCAAAGCAAATTCAGCTTCCTTCTCAGTACACTGATACATCCCTTGTGGGTCCTGGATGCTTTTTCCCAAGACCAGGCTTTTATTGTCTGATAACCGGTTTCCCTCTGTTCCCTCTATCCGCGAGATGTTGCCATCACATTTCAAAATCACTTTATCCTCATGTTCTTCCACAGTTATCTTGTTGTAGCTTTCTAAAGAAAAGGGGAAAAAATACCACAATTGGTGCCAGCGCTTTGTTTTACACTAGACACCTTTTTTTGCTGAGGATCATACTTCAGAAGGACCACTTTCCTAGTTTTGAGCAGTATATCATTATAGAGTTTCTAGGAGAGAGACAGTGTCACAAGAGAAGGCTTTGGAATGTTCCCCATGAACTATAGAGGCAAAGACACAAGGATTCAGTTGTCCATGAAAAGGACAGGTCCTGAGAGGCACAGAGCAAAAGAGGAATCCATGGAGCTAGGTTGATCTGAGAACCTTCCTAGAAATGAACTCAGACCACTGATTAGAAGTAGGAGGGAAACATAGATGGCTGAAACAGCCAAGAGATATGGAAAGGCAGAGGAATATTCCTCAGTTGGCCATGTCCCCATTTTTTCTCCGGGAAAACTTCTAATCCTACTTCCCATCCACCTGCAACACTTGCATTTCAACTTCTCATCCTCTTTCCTCCCCATTGCCCCACCCTCAACAACAATTACCAAGGACATGAGCCTCTCACCACTAAAGCCTTTGCCAGGGCCAGTGATTGTTGGAGGTGGGGGAGAATCTGGCATAAATTACAAGCCCAGTAGTCCAGAGGGAGCCCAGGGCAAACCCCATGTAAACATTTTTAGCTGTTCTACCTTGCTGGGTGGGGAGTGGGAAATTATGTATCGAATCCATTCTTGGGGCTCCAACTTCTGGATGTCATCCCATAAGTCAGGTCTAGCGGAGTAGAAGGGTTGGAAGTGAGCACAGCACCTTTCCGGATCCACTGACTTGCTATTAATCTCTGATAAAATAGACTTTCAGGCAAAAACCAGCATATGAGACAAGGAAGGGCATTATATAATGATTAAAGGGACAATCCAACAAGAGGACATAACCATAATAAATATCTATGCACTCAATGACAGAGCTCCAAAATACATAAAACCAACTTTAACAGAATTGAAAAGACCAATAGACCACTCCACAATAATAGTAGCAGATTTTAATATACCACTTTTGATGAAGGGCAGAAAAACTAGAAAGAAACTCAAGAAAGATACAGATGATCTAAACAACACAATCAACCAACTTGATCTCATAGGCATATACAGACTACTCCACCCACCAACAGCACAGCACACATTCTTTTCCAGTGCACATGGACCATTTTCCAGAATAAACCATAGGTTAGGCCACAAAGCAAGCCTCAAGAAATTCAAAAACATCAAAATAATACAAAGCATCTTTTCAGATCACAACACTAAAAAGTTAGAAATCAATAACAGGAAGAACAAGAAAAACGAATCAAATACACGGAAACTGAGTAACACCCTGGTTAAAAACCACTGGGTAATAGAAGAAATAAGAAAATTCCTAGAATCAAACAGATCCACTAACTGCCTCTAACAGCCTGAGAGCATCTTCACAGCCCACTAGAATCAGTATCTTCAGCTCTGGGGAAAAGTGGAATCCATGCTCTCCCTAACCTTCATACTCCATTACCAACTTGGATACAAGAGCATCCTCTAGAAAACCCCCAAACAGCAGCTTCTCATGCCTCTAAAGCAGGGAGACTCATGTACATCAGATTCTTCATATCCTACAGACATGTGTTCCTTAAGGATCTGTCTCCTGTGGAAATCCCAGTGTCCTGGTCCAGATACTAGGTTGACCAACCATCACTTTTGAGGACAATGGTGCACCTGACCCAAACCATCGTGTTTTCAATCACCTCATACACACACGAAAGCTGGACAATGAATAAGGAAGACCAAAGAAGAACTGATGCCTTAGAATTGTGGTGTTGGTGAAGAATATTCAAAATACCATGGACTGCCAGAAGAACAAACAAATCTATCTTAGAAAAAGTACAGCCAGAATGCTTCTTAGAAGCAAAGATGGTGAGATGTCGTCTCACATACTACGGACATGTTATCAGGAGGGACCAGTGCCTGGAGAAGGACATCATGCTTGGTAGATGGTCAGCAAAAAAGAGGAAGACTCTCAGCAAGATGGATTGACACAGTGGCTGCAACAATGGGTTCAAGCATAACAACAATTTTGAGGATGGCGCAGGACTGGGCAATGTTTTGTTCTGTTGTGCATAGGGTCGCTATGAGTTGGAATTGACTCTATGGCACCTAAGAGCAACACTCATCCCAGTGTGCCTGGGATGAGGGAGTTCCTGAGACATGGGACTTTCAGGTTTAAAACCAAGACAGTCCCAGGCAAACCGGGATGAGTTGCTCATCCCACTGACTATGCAGTAACCTCCCAAATCAGCCCTCCCTCCTCCTCAATCTCCAGTTCACTTTTCTCTTAAGGCATTCCCCTGAGTGCTGGGCCATGGTTCCGGGTAATGATGTAATGATGACTAAATGACCAAGAGTCCTGATCCCACAGCCTGTTTACCCTAGAAGTTGCAGTGCATGCAGCTCTGCTCCCATTACCAGCCTTAGGCTCAGCCACGCACACACACACTGCACCATTTCCTACAGATCTCTGGCCTAAGGCCTTCAGAGAGCCATTCAAGGCCAAGAAGCTCCGCTGACTGGAGTCAGTCAGAAGTCAAGGGCCTGTTTCCCAGATGTTGTGCTACATCTCAACCCTGCCCTCCTTTTCACCCTGGGGTGCCTGATGAATGCTAGTATCGAGAAAGATTTTCGAGTGGACCTTGCTGGATATGCTCTCAGTGGTAATGTCCCTCTCAAATCCCTTCTTCAAGATGCTCACCCACCTGAAGAAGCCTTATCTTGGAGAATAAGGGCAGCCAGGATCAGGCCAACCAGAAACCTGCTGTGCTTCATCTTTCAGCCAAATTCGTCCAGTAGACCCAGATCACAGAGCTATCAGCCAGGGTGAGAGTGGCCCTCCCCCACAGACTCATGGGTACCCGGAAAAAGTAAAGGGTAGGGGAGGAACCAGAAGGTGACTATTTCTCTGCCTTCTGCCATTGATGACGGGTAGAGATAGGGATGGGGTAGGAAGGAAGCAGGTGCAAGTTGCTCTTTCTCTGAGCAGGGAGCTTGGGGGTGGGGTGGAAGGGAGAGCAGAGAATATGGAGAAGGTTGCCTGGCTTCTAAGAAGTCCAGAGAACTTTAGGATTGCCTTTCCTAAGCTGCTGATGACAAACGAGAACTTCAGAGTCCTGTTAACAACATTACTACATTTTCTCACTACCTAAAAACTGCCCGTTCCTGATCTTTCCTCAGGGTCCTTCATTGGGCAGCCTGGGACACCAGATGAAGTAGCTTCTTTCCAGGGGAAGGTTGGACCTTAGAGACACCCAGCCAGAGATTTGAATCCTGGCTCCAATACTACTTACCTGTGGAGACTGGGTGGATTCACTGGGTGGTGCAAACAGTTAATGCCCTCTGCTGCTAACAAAAAGATTGGCAGTTCAAATCCACCCAGAGGTGCCTCAGAAGAAAGGCCTGGTGATCTACTTCCAAAACTTCAGCCATTGAAAATTCTTTGGAGCACAGATCTGTTCTGATACACATGGGGTTACCATGCGTCAGAATCCATTCTACAGCAACTGGTTTGGATTTTTTGATGGGGCCTGGGCCTGCCATGTAAGTTTTCAGAGCCTAATTCCTTCAGTATTATCATAAGGATTCAAACAAAATGTTTGTATGATGCCTGGCACATCATATATGCTCAGTAAATGGGAGTTATTAATAACAATATAATTGACTCACAGGCAGAATTGAGCCTCCCCAGAACACAGAGTTTTTCCCTTGTGGCCTATGGCATCTAAAACTCTACCTGCCCTAATCGAGCTCTAATTTACCTGAGGGCAGAGATAGTGTCTGTCTTGCTCACTGTTGTATCCCTAACACCTGGCTTGTGCCTGGTACAACATAAGGACTCTCTAAGTACTCTTTGAATGATTGATTGACTGACTGAGGGAGGCAGGGACATGAGACCCTGGAAACTCAGTCCAGGGCCAGCCCGGGGCCTGTGCTGGCCTGTCTTGTGGAAATTGTCCCACCTATGCCCTTCCTGGCAGGCACCACTTTGATGATTTCATCTCAAAAGAATAGTGCAAAATTCCTGATCGAAGACCTGGGCTGAGGTGGCTTTCCATTCAGAGCTCCAGCCCCAAGCACCTGAGGGCTGTGCCTAAATTCTTAGTTCTAGTAACAACTGGTGGCAGGGGAATTTATCTACCGCATGAAGAAAGGGGCTCAGGATCATCTCCCACCCAGCACCCAAGGTGACTCTGTGAAAGCCGAATCTCTGAGATGGCAGCATTTTCTGCCTACCCCTCCCACCAGCTCCCACCTTCCACTCCATCCATACCCAGAGGAGCCTTAACGGAAAAGCAAGAGACATCTGCACCTGCAGCCCTGTTCAGGCCCTGCCTCCCACGCTTGAAGCAGAGAGAGGAGACTCTGGGTTCTTGCCCCTTTAGCAGGGGCCCCAGCCTGAAAGGTGCTGGGCGGAGCCAGGTTAGCTGCCGCACAGGCCAGAGGACTGCTAACTAAGGGCTGCTCAGCGCTTTGCAGCTAAGAGCGAGACTGACATGAAGCAGGGGAAGGGTCTGGCCAGCCTCACTCTGGCTATCATTCTTCTTCAAGGTAAGGGTCCTCAGGGGGGTTCTGGAAGCCTAAGGAAGGGTTCAAGGGGTAGAGGCCGCGGAAGAAGCGAGAATATTGTCATCCCTAACCTCAATCCTACCTCAGGTGTTACCCTAAAATTCAAAGACCAAGGGCGAAAATGAAGCTTCCTACCGTGCTTTGCTAGAAAGAAGCAGTGCCTCAAGGGAGAATTGGGATCCTTATCTCTGAGAGATTAAAACAGAAACCTTAACTGGCTAGAAAGAGGGCTCTGCTGCCGCCATTTTAGGCTTGAATGTAACCCAAAAGGACACAGGCCAGGAACCTGAAAGGAAAACGTACGTGTTCTCTAGCTCAGAGCTGGGGTTAGGAGGAGATCTATAAAGATCACTCAGCTGGTCAGTTGGTCAACAAATATGGTTGAGATTCTATTATGTGATAGACAGGAGGATATACATATGAATAAAAAATATCTACCCCAAAAAGCTCACAGTCTAATAGGAGAGATAAGTTTAATGTTACCAGACTTGAGTGTGACGTGCCTATAAGTATATTCAGTTTGGATATATCCAACAGGAAGTGGATGAACTAGGCTGAAGCCTGGAGTCTGGACTAGAGCTGGTTCTTCACACCTTCAACATATTGCTGTGGAGTCGATTCCAACTCATAGCAACCCTATGGGACACAGTAGAACTGTCCCATAGGGTTTCCAAGGAGTGGCTGGAGGATTCAAACTGCTGACCTTCTGGTTAGCAGCCGAACACTTAACCACTGCACCACCAGGGTCCCACTCCCCACACATTAGGGGTAGCCAAAACCATGAAAGTTGTTAAAATCACACAAGTACTATGTGATATGTGAGAAAGAGGGAGCTGAGGATAGAACTGTGAGGACAATAACCTTGAAGGGGCAATTAGATAAAAAAGGATCTCGAGAAAGAGGCAAAGTAGTGATCAAAGAGCTGGAAGAATGAGGTGAGTGCAATGAATGGGAACCAAAGGAGTAGAGAACTTCCAGAAGGAGAGATTATGAAGAGTATAAAAGAGTACCAAGAGTATAAAATGCTACAGAGAGGTCCATTAATATAATAGTATATTTAAAAGTTTAAGTCTTTGAGATTTGGCAAAATAAAGGTCATGGATGACTTCATTTCATTAAGATAGTGTGAAACTGAGCTGCATAAGGGTCAAGTGGAGGACTTGAAGAGGACGGTAAAAGTTTCAAATCATTTCTGAGGGGATAAAAGGAGGATCCAGATAAAGACAACAAAGATGCTGAAAGCCTGTGTGAGGCAGCTAGATATAGTGGAAAAAGCACTGGGCTGAGCAACAGAAAACCTGAGTCCCAGGTACAGCTTACCCATCAATGGGCTCTGTGAACTGGAGTTCCCTCGCCAGTCAATCCAGGAAATTTGGCTACATGACCTCTCAAATTCTAAGAGGAAATAGGACTTGATAGGCAAAATTGAAAGATATTCAATAGTCAATTTGATCCTCTTTGCAATGGAATCTGACTTAGAATGAGGGGCTTCTCTGTGCCTCCCACAGTGACCAGGTGCTCAGGGAGAAGGGCTAGTAAGAAATCTGCTTAACTGTGTACTTTTTTTTTTAATTCATTGATTTGTTCATTCATGCATCCATTCAAAAATATTTATGGAACTCCTACCATGTTTCAGACACTGTGCTGGGTACTACTCATGGACAGTCCAACACTATGTGAGGTTCAATGACAGTTGACTAGTTATTGGAGGAGGAGAATGCTGATTGCAACTATTTCCATCACACTGTGATTCGTGCCCCACCTCTCCCCATCACAAGCTCTACTTCTTGCATGTACTTTTCCAAATATGTATCCTTGCTCAGCTATTCTTTCTACTCAGAATGCCTTTCTCTGTCTGGTGAATTCCTTCTACTCATTCTTCAAGCCAAGCCAAATGTCACTACCTCTATTTAAGCATTCCCTGACCCTCCACCCTTGGGCAAAACTCAGTAGATTCTTCCTCCATTAATATGCATTTATATATGTAGTAAAAGAGCACTTACAAGTTCTATTACATTAATTATATATATGTTTGTTTTTTTACTTCATTGTAAACTCTTTGGAAGCAGTGACTGGTTCTTTATATTACTGCCCTTTTCTTTCACAATGTTTAACCATGCCAGATACATAATAATACTCAGTGAATGTCTAGATTGAACTATTCCAGTGGTGAGTCTCTGTAGTACATCTAACATGCAACTCTACTCTGAGGTTTGAGACAGATTTGAGGGCTATTGGAGAACAAACTCTCCTGGGACATCTAGGGTTTCTATATGAAATGAATCACCAAGGCTGAAGAGTTTAGAAGTAACTCAGCATTAAAAGGTCTGGATTCTTTGGCTAGTGCACACCCACTCCTTACCAGGGCTTTAGCTGCTCAAGGAGCAGAGCATTATGGACTGTATAGGCAATACCCTGAATCCAATTTGGTAATTTAGGCTATGATCCAGGGAAGTAGGTATAGATACTATCATTTCTGGTCTTGGCCTTAACTGATGATGGGAATGATATCTCAGGGCATCTGAACAATTCCATACCCAGCTGATCCTCTGTATCTCATCTGTCTCTACAGGTACTATGGCCAAGCTGAAACAAGGTAGGGGAAATATCTTCTTTTTATGTTCAAACTCTGAGAAAATTCACAGAAATATGGCTTCCTACAACAGCAGTCCTACAAGAGTGAACAATTTAAGAGGGATGGGATGATGGGGGTAGGGGTGGATAGCTGACCTCTCCATTATCAACCAAATCACTGGCCAGCCATGACCTGTTCTAGGCAGCTTTCCAATAGTTAAGCAATTAATTGTCTAATTCTTGCAGAAGAAACAGGACTTTAGTAGATAGGCACTACTCAAAATGTGATCCATGAACCAACAGCACAGGCCTCATCTGGGAGCATGTCAGAAATCTCAGCCCCTCCTCAGAATTACTGAATAGAATCTAAATTTCTAACAAGATGCCCATGTGATTCAAGTGTACATTAAAGTTTGAAAAGCACTGCTTTAATGGTCTTCCCCTGGTACTTTGGGCAGGGAGCATTCCAGAGGCAAGATCCATACCAGAACCATGGCTTTTCCCTTTTCAGATGAGTATTTAAAAGTGGATGACAATCGAGAAGATGGTTCAGTACTTTTGACTTGTGACTTGGAAGATAGAAATATCACATGGTTTAAAGATGGAAAGGAAATACATGCCTCACAGAAAGCTAAAAACCAATACAACCTGGGAAGTGCTACCAAGGACCCTCAAGGGACGTACCAGTGCAAAGGATCTAATGTCTCAAAATCACTCCAAGTGTATTTTAGAAGTATGTAATGCGCTTTGGTTCGTTTGTTGGTTGGTTGGTTATGAAATTAAGCAGTACTTGCTATTCTGATGAGCTTCCTGTCTTGGGTGAGGGTGGAAATAGATGCTAAGCGATGATATACTAGCCAGTTGTCTTAATCTCAGCTTGCTTTTCTTTGAATGTGACAAGACAGTTACCCCAGAATAGCCAGTTCTTTCTGTAAAGCCTGTCTTACTTTTGGGTGGGCCCCATGGATTGGAGCAGCTCATCTCCTTCTGTAATCTGGGGGTGGGAAGAGGGGAACGAGGGGAATAATTACAAGGTGAATAGCAGTGTGGAGTGGAGGACAGCTGAGCATGGAGAAAGGCATCTTGTTTTCCTCCAAGTCTACATAGTTTCTGGTAGTGAGACTACACAGGCTTCCCCAGGACTCCTGGGACACTGAGAAACATCAAGAAACATTGAGTTCTTGGTCCAAGGGTCTTCTCAGGCAATTCTGTTGCCATATCACTCAGAGAAGGAGAATCCTGTTGTCTTAGACAGAGGCAGTATAGCTGGTAGGCAGGGGGAAAAGATCCAGGAAGAGCAACTTTCCAGCCTGAAGGAGGCTTGTCCCTGCCTTTTCCCACAGTGTGTCAGAACTGCATCGAACTGAACGCAGCCACGGTAACTGGCTTCATCTTTGCTGAAATCGTCAGCATTTTCTTCCTTGCTCTTGGGGTCTACTTCATTGCTGGGCAGGATGGAGTTCATCAGTCACGAGGTAGAAGAATGTTCTTAGATGAAAGATGTGACCACCTGGGACCCTGAGACCCCTTCCAACCAAAAGAGACCAAATAGAAGAGACTGAGTTGGCATGTGCTGCTAACATGCGTAGTTGGGTGAGGCCCTGTATCTCTGGGGCAGGAGAAAAGGATACCTGGGGCTATCACAGTGTATTTGCCTGTCTCCAAATCTCACTCCCTCTGACTTGTCTTCGTGTTTTTAAAAACTTTCTATCGACGTGAAACATACATACAGAAAAGTGGATAAATCACAGCGTTCAGATAAAAAAATTTAACAAAGCAAACACACCCATGAATTCAGCACCCAGTCCAAGAATGTTACTGACACTCTAGAAGCCCCCCCTTGTGGTCACTTCCAGTCACTACCTATGCCTAAAACTAAGCACTATTCTGACTTCTAATGTGTGGATTAATTTTGCATGTTTTTGTTCTTTATATAGACTTGTACAGTAAGTACTTTTGTGTATGGTTTCTTTCATTCAACAATATGCTTTCGAGACTTATCTTTATTGTTGCGTGTAGGTGTAGTTTACTAATTCTTACTGCTATTTTATAACCTAATCTATTATCCATTCTATCTTTTGTGTATTTTGCTTTTTGTGCAGCTTCAGACAAGCAGACTCTATTGCCCAATGACCAGCTCTACCAGGTAAGGGGATTATAAACCAAATAGACATTGCTACAATCAGAGGGGGTAAAATTTCTGAATTTGGGGGCAAGTTATTTGGAAGATACTATACAGATAAAACGAGCCCTGGTGGTGTAACCGAAAGGTCAGCGGTTCAAAGCCACCAGCCGGTCTGTGGGAGAAAGTTGTGGCAGTCTGCTTCCATAAAGATTCCAGCCTTGGAAATTCTATGGGGCACTTCTACACTGTCCTACAGGGTCACTATGAGTTGGAATCAACTCATGGGTTGATGGGTTTTGGTTTGGGATACAGATAAGGAACTGCTTAAAGCATACCAGATGATGGGATAACTATACCTTTGGGTAGATGAATGAAATAAAGAGAAGAGTTGAGAGAGACTGAGGTCAGGACCTGGTGAGAAAAAGTTGAAAAACATACTGACAGACACACAAAGAACTGTATCCAGAGCCTCCATCTCCTTGCCCTCTCTCTGCCCCCAGGACCGTGAAGCACCCACTCCAAACCTTTGCACATAAAAAGCACTCAATAAATACGCATCAAATTAATTAACAGAGGATGGAGAAAAATGGCTTATGATTGTGCTCTCCTTTTTAGCCCCTCAAGGATCGAGAAGATGACCAATACAGCCACCTTCAAGGAAATCAACTGAAGAAGAACTGAGCTCAGGACTCAGAGTAGGTGTGTCCTTCAAACACCAATTCTAAGAAAGTACCTATGCATTACCTGCCCTCTCAATTGCTGCCAAGTCTATCTGCCTATCCCAAGCAGTCATAAGGATTGTGGAGTGGGGCTGATTATAGAGGCCCTATTCTGAAGGCATTGGGCCAGTATGGATTTTTTTTACCTAAGAAAATATGAATGCTGTGTGTACATGTAAATCCTCTTAAAGCAAGGCCTAAAGCAGGGGAGATGCTGAATGTTAATGTTAACCTATATCAGCATTTCTCAACATCTGCACTATTGACATTTTGAGCTAGACATTACTTTGAGGTGGGTGGCTATCCTGTGCGTTGTAGTATTCCTGGTCTGTATCCACTACATGTCAGTAGCACCCCTCATTCGTAACAACCAAGAATGTCTCCAGACACTGCCAAGTGTCTCCTACCGGGCAAAATTGCCCTTGGTTGAGAACCACTGACCTATATTAACCTTTCCATCAACTAATCAATCAGAAGTTTCAATCAAGAAGACAAGGCCACAAGCATTATTTGGTTTTCTGAACCAACTGCAATTTTTTTTCAATCCAGGTGTTACCTCTTCTATCCAGTTCTCAGCAGGAAAGCAATACATTTTGGAGAACTCTTAGCAGAGAGACTTCCAGCCCTCAATCTAGACTTGAGCTCCCCAGTGGTGACAGATGAAGAAGAAAGATCATCAGAACAAACTTGGGTTTTTCTCAAAATTAGATAGCCAAGATAGACAGACAGATGTAAAAACATATAAGGTGTTTCAAGAGCGTCACCTATTGGGAGATGATTTTTCTGTAAAAGAAAAATGAAAAAGTTAAACAATCCCCTGTATTTGCATAGAATTTTTTCAGGTTTTAGTTTTTACTTAGTTTTTGTGCATAATTCACATGGTTTAAAACATGCAGTAAAAAGCCACCCTCCGCCTCCATCCCCCAGCCACATAGTTGCCCTTCCCAGAAGCAAATAATATAACTAGTTTCTTATCCTTTAGGAGGTATTCTAGGTATATATGAGCAAATTCTGAAGTACATATTCTTTCTCTCCTCCCGTTTTCTACACAAATGGCATCATATTATATACATCTTATACTTTTCACCTAATAAAACCTGAATATTGCTTCACACTAGTTTTAAAAAGTGCTCTTTTTTTTGCAGCCACATTGTACAAATACACTATAATTTATTTATCCAGTCTCCTACTGGGGGAAAGTGGAGCCGTGTTGGTCCAGTGGTTAAGATCTTTGCTGTCAACCAAAAGGTCAGCCGTTTGAACCCACTAGCTGCTCTGTAGGAGAAAGATGTGGCAGTCTGCTTCTGTAAAGATTACAGCTTTGGAAACCCTGTGAGGCAGTTCTACTCTGTCCCATAGGGTCGCTATGATTCCGAATCAATTCAACAGCAATGGGTTGGGTTATCTACTGAAGGACATTTAAGTTGGCTCTTATCTTTTGCCCCTACAACAATGACTAACATTGTATAAATGTCGTTTCTTTTAAACAATTTTTATTGAGATGTAATTTAAATGTCGTAAGATTGACCCATTTTAAGTGATTTCACCTGTTTTCCGTGATTTTTTTTTTTTTAGTAACTTTACCCAGTTGTACACAATCATTATAATCCAGTTTTAGAGCATTTCCATTACCTTCTTAAGATCCTTTGTGCTGTTTGCATTTACTCCCTGTTCCCACCCCAGCCCCAAGCAACCACTAATATTTTTTCTCTCTTTAGATCTGCCTTTTCTGACATTTCATATAAATGGAATCATACAATACCTGGTCTTTTGTATCTAGCTTTTTTCACTTAGCATAATGCTTTCAAGCTTCATCTATGTTATAACACGTATAAGTACTTTGTTTCTTTTTATAATGAATGGTATTCATTGCATGGGTATAGCATGTTTTGTTTGTCCATTCACCAGTTGATGGACATTTGAGTTGTTTCCATTTTTTAATTGTGATGAATAATGCTGCTATGAACTTTCTCCTGCAAGTCTTTGTGTGGACCTATGTTTTTGTTTCTCTAGGGTAGATACCAAGGAGTGAAGAATTGCTCAGTCATATGGTAAATTTATGTTTAGCTTTTTAAAAAACTGCCAAACTGTTTTCCAAAGTTGCCATACCATTGTACATTCCCACTGGCAATGGATGAGAGTTTCTGTTTCTCCACATCCTCACCGGTATTTGTTACTATTTGTCTTTTTTATTATAGCCTTTTTAGTGGATGTAACAGAGTCCCTGGGTGGTGCAAACAGTTAATGAACTGGGCTACTAACCAAAAGGTTGGAGATTTGAGTCCACCCAGAGCACCTCAGAAGAAAGGCCTAGAAATTCACTTCCAAAAAATCAGCTGTTGAAAACCCTATGGAACACAGTTCTACTCTGACATAAATGGAGGTCCTCGTGAGTTGGAGTCAACTTGACAGCAACTGGTTTTGTTTTGGTTTTGCTTTTCTTTTAATGGATGAAAAATTGTTATCTCATTATAGTTTTAATTTACAATTCTCTAATGACTAACGATGTTGAAAATCTTTTCATGTGCTTATTGGCCATTCAGGTATCTTCTTTTGTGAGACGTCTATTCAAATTTTTTGTGCATTTTTTTCTTAATTGGGTTGTTTGTCTTCTTACTATTGAGTTGTAGAAGTTCTTTGTCTGAATACAAGTCCTTTATCAGATACATAAATAATTTGCAAATATTTTCTCCCAATCTGTGGCTTGTCTTTCATTTTCTTAATAATGTTTTATGAGGTGCAGAAGTTCTGAATTTTGTTAAGTCCATTTATCAATATTTTATTTTTTGGATTGTGCTTTTGATGTCATATCTAAGAAATATTTGCTGAACTCAGGTCACAGATTTTCTCGTGTCGTCTTCTGAAACTTTTATAGCTCTAGCTCTAGCAATAAATGTCCTTTTGAACATGATTAAGACTATTTGTAACATAAATACAAATAAATGAAATTACTGGGCCATAATGTATTTGCACTTGTAATTTTATTAAATATTGACAAATTGAACTCCATAGAGGTTTTATCAATATATACTCTCACCTACAATAGACAAGAGTGCCTTTTGCTCACTCTATCCAATAGTGTATTATTATACTTTTAAACCTTTGCCAATCTAAGTTGAAAATGTCATCTGTGTAGTTTTAATTTGCACTTTTCGTATTAAAAATGGGAATGAGCCATTTGTTTTTCATTTTCATGAAATATTGGCTCATATTTATCTTTTTCTTACTAACTTGCAACAACCCTTTACATTTTGGAAAACTAGATCTTTTGTCTGTGATAACAGTTGCGAGTATTTTTCTAATTTTGTTGTGTTTTTACTTTGCTTATGACTGGGTTTCCATGCACATTTAAAAAATATTTTTAAGTAGTAGAATTCACTGATCTTTTATGGCTTCTAGGTTGTTTTATATTTACAGTCTTCTCCATCCATGAATTCATTAGCATTTTCATGGTTTCATTTTATACATTTACATCTTTGATCTATCTGGAATTTATTTTAGTGTAAGGCCTAACATATTAACCAACTTTTAAATCAGAAAGTTATCCAGTTATTCCACAGCTATTTGTTGGGTAATACATTTTGTGTCCATTGATTTTACAGGCTACGTTGCCACTCCCACCCTTACCAGATTGTAAGCTCCATGAAGGAAAAGACTTCACGTCAGTATTAAAAAGCCCTCTTACAACAGTGCCTAGGACACAGTAGGCGCTCAAATACCTGAATAAGAAATGAATACACAAAATTCCCATTGCACAGCGCTTTTAACTCTAGAAAAGTATGCTTCCATTGCCTTTTTGTTATCTCATAACAGCCTTGTAGGATGGATACTGTCTACACTTTGCTGTTAAGAAAACTGAAAATCCAACAAAAGATAATTCAAACAGCCTGGTGGGGAAAACAGAAAGCAGGAGACTACAAACGTAGCAGACACTACTAGCGACCGCTGTCCAAACCCCTGCCTCATATCCCACTAACCTCCAAACCACCCACCCCCGATCTCCGCCCCGGAACCCGGATCCCACAGAAGTTCCTGCCACTTCCGCCCCGCCCCCAGTCCGCCCCGCCCCCAGTCCGCTCTGACTAACCTAGCGCGTGCGCCGTGAGGATGTTTGCGCGCCCGCTACCGGTGCGCAGCAACACAACTTGCTTCCGGCGCGGAATGAGATTCCACCAGCGTGGGCCCCTACAGATGACGTAAGCTCCGGTTGCCGCGCTGAGTCGGAAGTGGGACCCCCTTCGGCCTCTGAAAGTCTGTCGAACCGTCGCTGTTGGCCCTTCAGGCTCTGGTAAGAAAGGAATTTGCTTGAGGGGAGGCGATCGAAGGTCTGCAGTGAGCGTTTTTTCCCCCTAGTCGAATGCCTCTCCAGGCCTGTACACTTTTACCTCTTCCAAATGCCTTCTCCTGTGCTTTCCTGACCTATGACCCTCTCCTTCGTGAACTTTGACGCTGTCTGATTTGGGTGCCCTTACAGAGCCCCAGCTTCTGGTGTCTCTGTGCACATTTCTTTCCCCCTCTTTGCCATGCCCTTTGTAGAAAAGGCCAGAATACTGGCCTTGCATTATCTTTTGACTTCCTTGCTCTAGAACGCGCGCCGAGCAGGTGGGGTCTCCCTTCTTGCCCAGAATCCCCTATGGAACGTGGAGGGACAAAATATAAAGAGTAAACAGCAGATAATCAGACACCAAAGAAGATAAAATTAAGCACGAGTCGCAAAGTAATTAAGCCAGTTGAATGCGTATGGCAAGGTGTTGACATTTCTTAAGGCAAGTGATCAAAATCCAAAACTCTCCTGGCACTCTGCTTCATGCTCCCTCAGCAATTGAACGTAGAAGACACTTCTAAAATTGACTAATCAAAGCCCAGGAACTTATATTTTGATAAATCTTCCCCCTTGGGATCAGTTTTTCGATGTCATGGACTGTTTTGGCCCCACGTGGGAGCCTACCTGAGATAAAATGGGACTCATCAAGGAATGCAGCTCAGTTTTTGACTTGAAGAGTCTCTTCTAGTTTGCTGATGTATTGAAAGGTTTGTGGCCACATTAACGTGGCTTGAAAGGATTATTGGGTGGAACATACAACAATGAAGCCATTTTCTTATTTCTGTTTTGGTTTGATATATGTATCACCCTCCAGGACAGAGGCGTTTATGGACTATGATTTAATAGAGCTTTATTTTAACAATTCCAGTTGTATGAAGTATTCCAAATATTTCTGTTTAGAAGTATCAAGTCTGATGTTAAAGCACATGGGTATTCATCCCTTTAAGAGCTTATAACGGCACTTAAGGGATTAATAGTACTGTTCGTAAACAAAAGATTGAATCACGAGAGGATGAAAGGATTTTGTAGAGCTGGAGGTAGACAGCTATTTTAGATGTAGATCATTGTGGTGGGTATATCAGAGAGAAACTTGTTTTCAAACAGGACATATTCAAAAATAATTAAATTCAAAAGTTTCTAAGGATTGACTACCATCCCAAAGGCTGACAACAGGATAGTGCTATATTTCTGTATGACAGTGAAAAATAGATTATGAATCCCTAGTGACTTCGTTAAATTTAAAAAAAAAAAATCAAGGTTTCATTGTATCAGACTTTTCTTATGAGGTGGGTAATCCAGTGATCAATATTCCCTTTTCCTGTAAAACTTTTCTGTAAGTGGTTGCATAATTTTAGCCTTTGTTCTATGGAAATAGTTTGTGCACGGATTTGAAGCACATATGAAAAATATGACCTTGGTGAGGTAGGCAAAAACTTTTTTTTGTTTTTCACAGACAGAAGAGATTTGTTTACTTTCTCTTTTTCTACACGTGCAGAAATTCCAAAGAGCCACATTGTCTGGCCCTGTGGAGTTGGCCTTCCACTGCAACCCAAGACAAATAGTAAAGCCCTTATCTTGAAGTAGGATCATGGGTGCTGCTATTATAAGGGAGTCAGGAGTAATTACATGTAAGATTGAGTCAGTCAATAAATATTTAATTAGATTTCATGATTGTGATGTATAACGCCAGGCACAGAAGAATAGAAAGAATAATTAGATATGAACCTATACTCAAAAAGCTTATAGTCTAACAAAGTAGATTTACATTAATCATACGATGTAGAAGGTTATAAATCCTACTAAGAAATACAGATAAAATGTAATGGAAAGCTAATTTCTTTATATAATATGGTAGTATATTATTGAGAAAGGAGGAAATAATGCAGTTATGATGATAAATCCTTTTTGTCGTTCTTGATAGTCTTAAGAGCCTTTCTGTATCATACGTTCTGTATTCCTGGCTTTCACCTTACTTCTTTCTGCATAGGTGGTGCAGATAATGTATCTCCTTTGTATTAATCTGAACTCTTTTAAATTGTGTTTAAAAAAAAATTCAACCTAGCTTACACAATATACCAAAAAAAACAAATCCATTGCTATTGAGTCAATTCCAACTCATAGCAACCCTATAGGACAGGGTAGAACTGCCCCAAAAGGGTTTCCATGGAGCAGCTGGTAGATTCGAACTGCTGACCTTTTGGTTAACAGCTGTAGCTCTTAACCACTTTGCCACCAGGGCTCCAGCTTACACGATATAGGGGAATTTTATTGGCTGTTATAATTGAAAAGTCTAAAAGACTTTTTTTTTCCATCTCTTATCTCTATTTTTCTGTATGTTGACTTAGTTTTAGACTAGGCCTTCTCCAAATGAAAAGATGGCAGGTTTATATCTTACCAGCCTGGCAACTCAAGCAGGAAAAAAGAAAAAGAGTTCTTTTTGCTGTAAATTTAGCCAGAGGCCTGGAGCTGGTGTACCTTGGCTCTGATAGTCCTTGCTAGGGTCTTGTGCCCACTCCTGAATCAGTCACTTTGCCCAGAGTATTCTGTACTCCTTTTGGCCTGACCAGAGTCTTATGCCCATTCCTGGAGCTAGTAGGTAAGGTCAGCCTCTTCTGAACGTATGTACTGAGAGTGGGGTGAATCCCCAAAGGAAAAGTGCTGGATGTCATGTGAAAAAAGAGGAGAATGTTTTGGAGACAGAAAATAGTAAGAGCTCATTACACCTTTTTCAGTCCTCTGGACTTCAGGGTTCCTTAGGATGATGGCAGGGTGGTGGTCAGCCGGCAATGAGACAAGTCTTGGTACCTCTGCATAAATTAGGGGTAATAATTAAGTTTATGCAGTGGTTGGATAAGGATTGTTGTTCATTCCAGCACTAAATATGGCTATCTTTTTTCTTTCTTTTCTTTTCTTTTTTACGTTATTAAGCTCGACTAAAATATACTTAGCAAAAAATAAAATACATAGAACAACATCTAACAGTCCAATTCCTTGAAGCAGTAAAGCCCTGCACCATGCTGAAGGGAGACTGGACTGTCTGCCTAAGTCACAATACAGCTAATTAGCCAGTAGCTCTTATGCAGAAAACACCACAGAGGAGCGTGAAGCAACTGGTGGAGATGCCTCAGAATTGTCAAGAAATGTTATAGTCTGTCTTTCTCCAATTAATGAGGGTAACTTTTCTGACTTACATTAGCTTTTGTTAATATGATTCTGTAAGGAGTCTTGCCTCAATAAACTAAAGGTAGAGTGAATGTTCTTTTTTTTCTCTCCTTCCCTTCTACCCCCACCCCTACTCTTTCTAAGGCCTCTGTCCTTGTAGCAGTTCAGCATCCTTGTAAGCACAATATACATACCCTTTGTCTCTTCCCACCCTTTTCAGGGTTGTATTTCTATGCTGTGGCCTTTAAATTTCAGAAAGGGGAGAAAGCCTTTCAGGGAGCTCTGTTCATCCTGTTGTGCCACTGCGTCCACTTGGCGCTTGAATGAGGAAATGTAATCAGAAGAGTGCAAATGCAGGTTCAGTCAGCCTCACTAAATACCTTTGAGGTGTATGTCTACTTCGATTACACATTGGACCTGACAGTTGGAATTTGTGTCTCTCTTCATTGTAAAAGATCAAATAAAACCAAGAAAAATCAGATGAACAGTGGAAGTTACATATAGACTTAAGCAAAGATCATTTAGTTTTAGTGGGAGAAATACCAGTTTTAAGCCTAGGAGTAGAGATAGATTGCTCAACATATATTAAAAGCCCACAACATAAAGCTAATCTGGTTCTTGTCCTGATTTGCCATTCCAAGTCTAAGATATAGGCTTAAAATTAGTTTTCTAACCCTGAGTCATAGAATTCTGAGCAAGTGCTACTTTGTCCTCCCCATGGTAGATGAAAACTAGTCTGCCAGCTTCGAGATTCATGGGAATCCAGTAGTTCTTGTTTTATTATTTTTCAAGTGCCACTGTTAGTTGGTGGGAGCCCTGGTGGCACAGTGGTTAAGAACTATGGATGCTAACCAGAAGGCTGGCAGTTCAAATCCACCAGCCACTCCTTAGAAACCCTGTGGGGCAGTTCTGCTCTGTCCTGTAAGGTCGCTATGGGTCAGAATGGACTTGACGGCAATGGGTTTGGGTTTTTTGTTGTTGTTGTTTTTGTTTATTAGTTGGTGAATTCTCTCTTTGGCTTCAACAATTCTTTCCATTTAACCTACTTTTTTAAAGGTGTACCAAATAGAGATAATAACAGATAAGTGCATTCTGGTTGAACATGTTTTAGGCTTTTTGGTTTTACCAAAACCAAACCCACTGCTGTCGAGTTGATTCGAACTCGTAGAGACCCTATAGGACAGAGTAGAATTGCCCCATAGGGCTTCCGAGGCTGTAAATCTTTATGGAAGCACACTGCCACATCTTTCTCCCATGGAGCAGCTGGTGGGTTCACACCACCAGCCTTTCGGTTAGCAGCCAAGTGCAGCTACCCCCAAATCAGGCCATCTTGTCCAGTTGGTAGGTTTGTAACCATTTTGCCAAAAATGCCTTGAATCTTGGAACAGGGAATGGAAAGTCTTACCCACAAAGGCTTTTTAAATGTATTGTATTTGAGAGATGGGTAAAGAAACAACTATGAGTATGTTACAGCTGTTGTGTTACCTGCCCATCTTTGTGTCTAATGTCTGTCTTTTTCTGTAGCCCCTCCCCCTAGGTCTGGATGGAGGATACTTTAAAGTGAAATGACAGACCAGGAGAATAACAACAACATCTCAAGTAACCCCTTTGCTGCTCTTTTTGGCTCCCTGGCTGATGCCAAACAGTTTGCAGCAATCCAAAAAGAGCAGCTGAAGCAGCAATGTGGTAAGTGGAGGAGCCAATAGCAGCAGATGAGATGACCTAGAATGGGGTCTTCCCAAGTTAAGTGTTCTTTGGGTCCTTAATTGTAATTGGAGTTTAAGTTTAGGGCAGAAGTTATTTGTTCAGGGTATACGCTGATTTTTTGTTTGTTTGTTTGTTTTTGTTCTGGGGTCCTCCCCTTCTTCTCCTTCCCTGTTACATAAAAAAGAGACGGGCTAACTCTGCAGTAACAGATGCCAATAGTGATTCCAAAGCTGTCAGGTTGTCTTTGTTTTAAATCACCTAGTGAAAGCTATTTAAATCTACTTTTTAACATAGAAAACTGTGATTGGAGTTTTCGATGTGGAAAGCAGGTCACATGCAGCTGTAGAAAGCATATGTGTAAAAGGAATGATTATAAAACTTTTTGGCTTGTAGACAAATAAGTGAGATTTGTTGCTAAGCCTGGTGCTTCAGAGACCCTCTCAAGCAAGATAACTTCCTTTCCACTGATTAGCCTCTTCTGTAGCTTACTGCTGTTCGGAAAGACTGCTAAGAAAATTTGATCCTTAGCCCTAATGTGAAAAAAATCAGAGTAATATTTACTAGTCAGAAAAATGACTTTCCTAATCTGGGACCAAATTTAAGATCAAGCCCTGCTTCCCATCAGAAGACATACAGACTAGAAGAATTAGACTGTTTCTCAAATATATTAGTCTTGTGAGGGCATTCACAATCTTTCAAAGCAGAAATTGTTCCCTTTCTCTTTCCTCCAAAAAGACTGATAGTGTTTTTCTTTTGTGTATTTCAGAAAAGGGATCAGATGTATAGCTGAGCTGTGACCTTACTGTCTGTTTACCAAAAACGCGTTGCCATCGAGTTGATTCCAACTCATAGCAACCCTGTAGGACAGAGTAGAACTGCCCCATAGGGTTTCCAAAGAGAATCTGGTGGATTGGAACTGCTGACCTTTTGGTTAGCAGCCATAGCTCTTAACCACTGTGCCACCAGTGATTAGGAGTGAATAAAAAGGAGATAAGACAGATGACTGGTAGACAGGGTGATGGATGGTGCAAGTGAGAAACAACCACAGTGCTGACTTTTTAATATGATTGAATTAAGCGACTCTGGGTCTCTGTCTCTGAAATCTCTCCCAGATTTTTATGATATAGGCTCAGACTGTGAAAGCCTGGATCAGGAGATATTAGGAGAGAAACGAGAGTGAGGAATAGGAAAACCAAGGGAATGGGAAAGTATAATTTTATGGGTATGTGGTTGAGGGAAATTTTGCTGAACAGTTTCTTACCTCCTATCACTCTTGGTGCTTGGAGGAGAGCTTAGCAGTATAGGAGCAGAGTAACAGAACGCCCCTCCTTCTGGCTATAAACAGACCTAAGGCTGGCTAGAGTTGAGAGCATTGCAGGCACCAAGCAGTGGGGAACAAATCAGGTACATGCCCTTCTGTTACTATTTTGGCACCTCATCATCTTAGCTTGTTTATACTGGGTTTATCATGCTACCAGGTCTAACCTGTTTTCCACCAGCAGTGAGTACTCTGCCAAGACCTTTGACTTTCTGAACTGAGCTTCACTTTTACTGAACTCACCACACTGAGGCAAGTCTTATCTGAGAGTTTTGCCTGACTTAAAGAATAGCCATTCTGTCAGTAGAGAAAAGCACATACGGTCTCACGCGTAGCTTTTAGTGAGTGAAACTACTTCTGTTCCGCACAAGGGCTGTTCTGAGAGCCCCTCTTTCACATTACTTTATAAAAAAATTAAAGGAATTCTCTCATGTACTGTTGGTGGGCATGTAAATGAGAGCAGTCTTTCTGAGAGTAATTTGGTAATACATGTTAACTTAAATGTTCATGCTCTTTGACCCAGCAGTTCTGCTTCTATGAATTTATTCTACCAAAATACTTACACAGTTGCACAAAATGGGTAACTTATATTCAGTGCAGTATTGTTCAAAAAAGGAGCCCTGGTGGTGCAGTGGTTAAGTGCTTGGCTCTGCGGGAGAAAGATGCAGCAGCCTGCTCCTGTAAAGATTACAACCTAGGAAACCCTATGGGGCTGTTCTACTCAATCTTACAGGGTCACTATGAGTTGGAATAGACTCGACAGCAACGGGTTTGGTTTTTGGTTTTATTGTTCAAAATCTTGAAAAATTGGAAACAGCCCAAATGTTTATCAGTTGATAAGTAGCTCCATAAACAACAGTGCATGCATACAATGCAATACAGTGCAGCTATTGAGAATGAGGTAGGCCTATAAACGACCTAACAGGGAAGGGTGTTCATGCCAATTGTTTAAAAAGCAAGTTAAAAAAACAGCATTATAGTATGATCCCATTTAATTTTTTTTTTAAAAAGCCTCAACTAAAAATCATAGTAAAGCATTTCCATAGGAATAGGAAAAAACTCTGAAACACTTTGCTTAGTTAAACAGTTGTCAGTAAGGAAGAATTGGTTCACGGGAGACTTTCTACATGGTATTTTCTTGTCGTTTGGAATTATTACAAGTGTGTTCTCTTAAAATCAGGAAAAAGCCATAGATTTAAAATAATTAAAGGCATTTTGATCTATTAGAATTCTGTAGGGAAGGTAGCGTTGCTATTTCTGGCAGGGTGGAATACATTATAAGTAGAAATAATAAAACTTGTGTTTTGTAAATGTGGTAGGATATACAAGTAGAGATTTTTCAGAATCCTGTACTTTTAACTTGCCTGCCTTGAGAGGTTCACTAATTAGGTGACTAACTTGTTTCCTATCCCAAATTATCCCTTTTGGTTACATTTATCATTTTTGGTAGTATACTTATTTCTTTCTTACAGAGAGAGGTGTAATTTTTAACAGCTTACATTTTCTGACAGATGAACCCCCAGCTAGCCCGGATGACTCAGATAATAGTGTGTCAGAGAGCCTGGATGAATTTGATTACTCTGTGGCTGAGATTAGCCGCTCATTCCGTTCACAGCAGGAGATATGTGAGCAACTCAACATCAATCACATGATCCAAAGAATCTTCCTTATTACTCTGGACAACAGTGAGTGAGAGACTTGTAATCAGTCTGTTTATTACTTTACCTTTCCTACTTGGGCTAGGCACTTGTTTTCAGAAACCTGTTGCTTCTAATAGTTAAACTCACCGTCCTCCCGGGAACTACAGGGTTTAGGTTTCAGTAAGCTTCTGGTGTAACCTAAAAAGATATTTAGACATAATTCTAACTTTCATGTCCATTTTGATATTGACTGGGCCGTATAACTACTTGCCTATACTACCTTAGAGGGGAAATGGGAATGGCATCCAATTTTTAGGTGAACTACACACCCTAGAGGTCTCATACAGTATTTTCTCCATGTGCTCTAACTTGTAAGTTAAACCCCAAAGTTAGTGCTGTTGTCTTATCACTGGGATTTTCTCTTTAAATGCCATCATGTTAGGTTTGGAGCCCTGGTGGTGTAGTAGTTAAGAGCTCGGCTGCTGACCAAAAGGCCAGCAGTTTAAATCCACCATCTGCTCCTCAGAAACCCTATGAGGCAGTTCTGCTCTGTCCTGTAGGGTCGGATTTGACTCAGCAACAGGTCAGGTATGTTAGGTTTATAGCAGAGCCCATGTTCTTTGACTGCAAAAAAGATTAAAATCTTTAGATACTGCTTTGTGTGTCAGGATCATTTTGGTATTACCTGAGAACTTGGAGTTCAAGAGAAATGCTGTCAGGATAGGTTTTCTGAGTAAGAAGCATTATCCTTAACCTACCAGATTAAAAACCATTTCCCAGGTGACCCAAGTTTGAAAAGTGGGAATGGCATCCCCAGCCGTTGTGTGTATTTGGAAGAAATGGCAGTAGACCTGGATGATCAAGACTGGCTTGATATGAACAACATTGAGCAGGTACCATTCTTATGTTGCTTATGTGTGCCCTCAGCAAAAACTGGCCATGCAGCCGAACTCTATTCCCCTTTCTCCAACAGTGACTGTGTTTGCCTCTATCTCTTAACACTGTTCATGGTATTTTTCTTTTGGAATCATCTCATCTACCATGGCCACGTGTCCAAATCTACACATTCTTTAAGACCCAGTTAAAATGCCATCTTATTTACAAAGCCTTGCCAGGTAGGAGTTGTTACTCCATCCTCTGAGTTCCTAGAGTAACCTATGTGTCTCTTATGGTAATTGTCACTTTCTCTCACATAGTAGGTTTTTTATGTACCTGTCTTATCTCCCCTACTAGACTCAAGTTCTTGAGAGCAAGACCCATCTCTTTGTCATCTCTATATCTGTCCCAAAATCAAAACAGTGCTTTGCACATTGTAGGTACCTGATTAGCATTAAAATAAAATAAACAAAAGTCTGGTAGGGAAGACACTTGACAACTTGCAAGTTAACCTTACACATTTAAATTATGTTTAAATAAGTCTGGGTAAGATGAACAATCACACATAGAGTAGTAGATTTTACACATAAGTTTAATCACAGATTCTCACCACCCTTTTAAACCTGCTGTGTGCTAGGAGATATGCTAGATAGTTAAGGCTTGATTTAGGATAACTTTATATCTACAGTTATTTTCTAATGTTGTATGGGCAGATGTATTCTCTGAAATAGTAAGACACTGAGTTCTTTTTTACCCTTTCATTCTATATCCAAGTCTATGGTTCTGACAACACTTCCTGTCTATAGAGATTACCTGTGTCAAAATTGCCTTTTACGTTTTGATGTTCTAAGACCAACTTTAAAGTGGCTTAGTGTTTTTTTTTTGTTTGTTTGTTTTCCTTCATAGGCCCTCTTCTCTCGCTTATTACTTCAAGATCCAGGCAACCACTTGATTAACATGACTTCTTCTACAACGTTGAATCTCTCCACTGACCGAGATGCAGGAGAGAAGCATAGTTTTTGTTACCTTTACTCCTGCTTCCAAAGAGCCAAGGAGGAGGTAAAGGAATAATCCCCATTGAGTACTATGTTGTTCTGCAACTTCAACATGTAAGCCAGAGAGTTGTGTCAGTGTCTTACATACTAGTTTTATATACATCATAGCATATCTGGAACTATATATCAGAAGCATTACTAGTTTGTCTTCTAAAGCTTTAATCTCCCCGTTCTGTGGCTTACGTTCTGTCTCATGTAGTGGGGTCCACCCCTTTCTCCAGTTAACTAGTGCCTGTTAACAAAGCATTTCCACTGTTGTGTAAAAAATAGATTAGGCTAAGGATGATCACTTTCTAGGATTGGAATTTTAACAGATAAGTGATTCCTTAAGCCAAAGAATGAATCTCTCATGAATTTTCAAGCGTCTGCAGGAGAGCAGTATCTTTTGGGGATACAATGTCTGTTCCATTCTATTTGCTGTGTCTACTCTTGTTCTAGATCCTAGAGCTAGACTCTTCCCTCTGTTCATTCTGTTGCCAGATTACCAAAGTTCCAGAGAACCTGCTACCCTTTGCAGTGCAGTGCAGGAACCTCACTGTGTCCAATACCCGAACAGTTCTCCTCACCCCAGAGATCTATGTTGACCAAAATATCCATGAGCAACTGGTAGATGTGCTGTTGGAAGCCATCCAAGGAGCCCGTGAGTACATAAGCAAGATACGTGAGCTTCAACATTTTGATTTCCCAATGTAAAATTCCTCTAAATGCATTAGAAAGTCTCAGAGTCGTTATGGTTCCAGTGTAAATTAAGGAAGAGTGCTCACACCTTGGCCTTGGGGGTTGAATACCAGTTACAACAGAAGGGTAAGTATTAGTTCTGAGTAGGCTATATCCAGCTAATTGGTACTAGAAGATTGGAATTTCACAGTAGAATTATCAAAAGTATTAGAAGAGTAAAGAGCCAGTGTGTAAAGGCATATAAGAAAGTCCCTTGGCCTCCTTTTTCTCTTCTTTGCCTTCTGTTAGATTTTGAAGATGTTACTGAGTTTCTGGAAGAAGTTATTGAAGCCTTGACAACGGATGAGGAAGTTCGAACATTTCCAGAAGTCATGATTCCAGTGTTTGATATTTTATTGGGCCGAATAAAAGATCTAGAGCTTTGTCAGATCCTACTGTATGCATATCTGGATATTCTTCTCTATTTCACTAGGCAAAAGGATATGGCAAAGGTAGGTCTGAAAGGTGGTGTTCAGTTGAGCTGGAGATTTAATACTTCATGCTTCCCGACCCTGGAGGCACTTTTTAGGTATCTATCCTAAAGTAAAATTACCTATAGGATAAAAGAAAGTTATACTGATTTTTGTATAGACTTAACTCTTTGAGGCCCTTTCACCCCTGTCATCTTTATCTCACCATACAGAAGAATAAATAGAATTTATCTGCTCCTATAGGTTTTTGTAGAATACATTCAGCCCAAGGATCCTAGTAATGGGCAGATGTACCAGAAAACCTTGCTGGGAGTAATTCTGAGTATCTCCTGCTTGTTAAAGACTCCGGGTGTGGTAGAAAATCATGGCTACTTCCTGAATCCATCTCGCTCCAGTCCCCAGGAGATCAAAGTACAGGAAGCCAACATCCATCAGGTAGGACTATTTACTGGGGTATTCCAGTTCCCTGATCTTAGATTAAGAGTTTCTCCAGGAAAGAGACGCAGATAAGGCTACTTGAGCCTCTTTGGGAAAGCAGATCTGGTTGGCTTTCTACCACACTCATGTAGAGAAATTGCCCTCTTTATTAGCATGCACTTAGAGCAGAGGATAAAACTAGGCTTTGAGGCTAAGCTGCTGTTCATCTTGGCCATATGCTGGAGCACTGCCACTTCCCCTCAATCGTTGTTTTTCTCATCAGGCTGTTTCTTATAACTTTGAGCTTCTAAAATCTTTTGGCTAAACTCCAGCATAGAAACACAAAAATTTTTTGGTTTTGTTTTTCTTTCCTTGCCTCCACTTAGGTCCTCTCTTGTAGGCTTCTTAGCATAAATTATAGTAGAGGTCTGGCCAGCATGAGCCAGTAAATGGTTGAATTTGGGCTAGTTTAAGCCTCCTGTTTTACCATTTATTAATCAACACAACTCCCTAAAGCAGAGGTTGGCAAACTACAGGCATGACAAAATGTGACCTGCCACCTGTTTTTGTAAGTAAAGTTTTATTGAACATAGCCACACCCATTCATGCATATACTGCTTATGGCTTGATCTCATGCTACAGCAGTAGAGTTGAGTAGTTACTACAGAGACTGAATGGCCTGCAAAGCTGAAAATATTTATTATTTGGCCCTTTGCAGAAAAAGTTTACCAATCCCTGCTCTAAAGCTATATGATTCCATCTGCAGTTTGACAACGCATCAAGAAATCTCTCATAAACTAAATGGGCAGCTCCTGTCCAGAGGTGAGATGAGAAGGCAGAGAGGGTCAGGAGCTGGTTGAATGGACACAGGAAATCCAGGGTCGAAAGGAAGAGTGTGCTGTCACAGTACAGGGGAAGCAACTAGGGTCATATAACAATGTGTGTATAAAGTTTTGTATGAGAAACTAACTTGAATTGTAAACTTTCACTTAAAGCACAATTAAAAAAAAAAAAATCTCTCATAAATGGCCAGAAATAGATATTTTTTAAAAGTCAGAGCTGGGGTATAAGGCACAGGAAGAGTGAGGGGAATGATTAGGATGAGCATGTTTTTGGAAACTGCCAGTTGCTAAAGTTTGGAAGTAAAAAGTATTAGGATTGTGAAACTGGAATGTTCTGTGGTTGTGTTTTCTGGTTAAACAGTTCATGGCTCAGTTCCATGAAAAGATCTACCAGATGCTGAAGAACTTACTCCAGCTCTCTCCAGAAACCAAACACTGTATCTTGTCCTGGCTTGGAAACTGTTTGCATGCAAATGCAGGCCGCACCAAGATTTGGGCCAATCAGATGCCAGAAATTTTCTTCCAAATGTATGCCTCGGATGCCTTCTTTCTGAATCTGGGTGCCGCTCTTCTGAAGCTATGCCAGCCATTTTGCAAACCCAGATCCTCTCGGCTCCTCACCTTTAATCCCACTTACTGTGCCCTGAAGGAGTTGAATGATGAAGAACGAAAAATAAAAAATGTACACATGAGAGGTAGGGAGGAACTGGACTTCTCAAAATTGTGTGTATGTGTGTGTGTGTGCATGTGTTTGTGTGTGTGTGTGTGTAGTATCCAAGGCATTCACTCCTTTTCCTTTTTCACAAAGGTGCCTCTTTAAAGAAGAATGAGGCAGAGAGAAGAGCTATTTTTAATTAAAAAAAAGAGGCAGACGTTAAAAAAAAAAAAAGTAACTTTTAGATGTTTGCTTTAGTGAAACCTTCTCTCTGAATTTGGCAGCTTTGGGTTTTCACTCATTCATTCTTTATAAAAATGAATAAAACACAGTCCCTATCCTTTTTAACTCAGAGACTCCAGGAGAAAGCAGATTTACTAACAGATAATCATAGTATGGTATAGGGTTAAGCTGTGAGTGCACAGAGAGGGAATAAATAATCAATTCTGCGGAATTTGAAGGTTATGGAAGTCCTCAAACTGAGCCTGAATCAGGGTTGGTTTTACCAGGCAAAGAAGCGAAAGAATCCCTTTATATGAGGGAATAATAAATATAAAGGTGCAAAGCTATGGAAAAGCTTGACTGAGGAATAGTGAGAAGCTCAATGTGGCTATATCAAGGGGGCAGGTGGAGGAACAGGTGTGGAAAGTGTCAGGAAATTAGTCTGGGGAGGAAGAAGATTGGGACCATATTGGAGAAGACTTGAACAATACAGAGAAGTATAAAGAAGAAAATAAGTCATTTGTAATCCCAGCACTCAAAATGAATCACTCTTAATTTTTAAAATTATTTTGGTTCCAGTTTTTTAAACTCTTCTAATTTATACAACTAATACATGCTCAAAAGCAAATAATCTCAAGTACAGAAAAGTACAGAATAGGTAAAAATGTACCATCATCTGTCACTTGGAAAAATCTACGATGTTATCGTTCCTTTTAAATTTTGGTAATTTCATGATCAAACAAAAGAGATTTAACTTCACTTCTGTAGACAGCGAGAAGCCAAAAGATGTTTTTAAACAAGGAGGTAACATGATAAGATTTGTTTTTAAAAAGTATCCTTGGTACCGGTATGGAAGTTAAACTAGAGTAAGGGGAGACTGGAGACCAAGATAGTTGTCTGCGGCACCTGTCCAGCCACTCACTGTTGCTTTTTTTTAAACTTCTTTGAGGTTTGGACAAAGAAACCTGTTTGATCCCAGCTGTTCAGGAGCCAAAATTTCCCCAGAACTACAACCTTGTAACAGAGAACCTTGTCCTGACAGAGTATACCTTGTACCTGGGATTTCACAGGTAACTCCTCTGATGTCATTAGGAAAGAACTATTTAGTGTGTTGATAACTAGAAGGTTGAAAGTGAGTCTTAGAGATATATTCTCACTTTATTCTAAAGGCTTACATTAGGATCCAGTAGGAAAAGGGCATTATATGCATTTATTTGTGTTTACATGAATCAGCTTTGTTCAGATAGTGGATTTGTTTCTGATTTTTAACCTGTTAACTATTTAAAATTAAAAGTACACTAGTGTTTTTCTCTAGATTTGTGAGTTTTTAAATCATCTTTCTGTTGTCATCGAGAAAGTAGAAATGCTTTTATTTTACATTTTCTGCTCTTCAGTTGTCATTACTTACTATTCCTGATAAAAAAAGACAAAGCTGTATTCTGCAGGGTAGAGGCAAAATTGGCAAAATTAAGGAAATGTTTATAAGGGATTCCAATCAGATCAATAGGACCACAAAAGATCTATGTACCTAAGGTAAAGATGACTCTAGATGTGAAGATTTGAAAACTAGAGTGTATGATCATTGCACTTGTGTGGTGTAAAATTATCCTGTCAGGCTTCTTTCACTTTGCCGAATAGTCGTTTATTTTGCATAATAACAGTCCAGTGTACACCACGCTCAACCAAGCTACTGTTCTTTGGATGATGCATTTCAACTGAAGGCTGCTAAATTATTTGTAACTAGCTTCAATTATGTTGGGTACTTGATAACATTTTGCCGGTCCTATGTCCCCTGCCTCTGTCCTATCAGTAATTTTTATGAGTGCCTCTGTGTCATAGCAATTGCAACTCCCTGCATCCTGAAAGAGAAATTTAAAATAAATGAGGATTTGTTTTTCTGGAATAGTCTTACTAGACTGCCCCTACATGAGCTTCCCTGACCCCATCTCTTTTGCTTTCTCGGAGGCAGGTTGCATGATCAGATGGTAAAAATCAACCAAAATCTGCATCGGCTGCAGGTTGCCTGGCGGGATGCTCAGCAAAGTTCTAGCCCTGCTGCTGACAGCCTCCGTGAGCAATTTGAACGATTGATGACCATCTACCTTTCTACCAAGACTGCCATGACTGAGCCTCAGATGTTACAAAACTGCCTAAACTTGCAGGTGTCCATGGCTGTTCTTTTGGTCCAGCTGGCCATAGGCAATGAGGGCTCACAGCCAATAGAGCTAACTTTTCCTTTGCCAGATGGCTACAGCTCCTTGGCTTATGTGCCAGGTAAGCAGGCTCTCCCCTGGGAACTTCCTATTTATAGCCATCTAGGTTTAACTGGGTCACTTTGGAAGTTCAATCTTCAAAACACCTTCCCTTAGTTATCATTCTACTGCTTTTGGAGAAACATCTGAAACTTGTTCTTCCCAGTTCAGTCACAGCCGAGGAACCGAAACCGGAAGAGACCCGAATTTTTTTAAAATTTGGGTGAACTGGAATGGGAAAAATTATGGGTTGAAGCCCTGCTAGAAACCTGATCTCCGTCTTAGAAAACAAGGGTAGCATATGTGTTGCATAGCAACCAAATCTCTTGCACATCAGATTTTTAGAAGAGTCAGACACAGTGGTGCCCCGCTCAGAGATGGCGGCCAGCTGCCTCTTTGAATGTGTATCACTCTCCACAGTCCTGCCAATAATCTGCTCTCACACATCAGGCTTCTGAAAGGCATTGTGAGGCCTCTTCAGAGTCTCCCATTCCAGAGCTTTGACCTGTAATTTTTCCTGTTTCAGTTACCATTCTGGATCACCCGAATTGTAAAAATTCGGGTCTCTTCCGGTTTCACTTCATCGGCCATGACTGAACCAGTTCAAACCAGTTCAGAGCCCTGCTATCTACTGGTGAAAGTATGGGAAAATGCACAGCTTGTTCCTCAGCCTTCTGTCCCCATTGCTGTGCATATCAAGATAGTCTTCAGGGTATTAAACGCAGTCAGGGTTTTCAGAGCTGTTAGTTTCTGCCATTAATATTGTTTGTTATTCAACTTAAACATATTGTCTGACTCTTCCTGTGCTTCTCTTTAGAAGTAAAATCATCATCTGTTGGTTTACCCAGAAGGGAGAGGTAGATTGTATGTCTGTGTGGTTGGGGAGGAAGAGAGGGGGACAGCAGGTATTGTCCATCAGATCAGATTTTATGTTCTTGATCACTACGGTAGTTACCTATTGCTATGTAACAAATTACCCCAAAACATAGCAGATTGAAACAACTGATAATTTCTGTGGGTCAGGTATCCAGGAGTAGCTTAGCTGGATGGTTCTGATTCAGGGTCTCTCATGAAGTTACAGTTAAGCTGTTAACCAGGGTTGTGAGCATCTGAAAACTTGACTAGGGCTGAAGGATCCACTTACACCCTCAACCATGTGGTGTTTGGCAGGCCTCATTTCCTTGCTGGCTATTGGTCAGCATCCTCTTTTAAGGCCATATGGGCCTCTCCGTAATACTGTTCACGAAATGGCAGTTGGCTTCCCCCTAGAGCAAGTGACCAAAATGGAATCTGCAAGCTTTTACAACCTAATCTCAGCAATGACATACCATCACTTCTGCTGTATGCCTCAGGGATTATCTTCTACCCTGGAACAGTGTAGGAGAGGACTACACAAGGGCATGAATACAAGGAGGCAAGGACCTTTGGGAGGCCATTCTAGAGGCTGGCTGCCATAGTCAACTAATGTCTTATCCTTGTTAGAGATTCTTCATACATCCAAAGGGTTGTTCAAACCACAACTAACCCTGAGAGTAGAAAAAAAATAAGTACACTTCCTTAAACTTAGTAAGTACTGCACTTGTGTGTTAATGGGTTTTTGTGTCATTGTCATTCATATATTTACTTGGATAAAAATGAAAATTGATTGACATTTAAAGGAGATTCTACATTTATTAACTTACCACTAGGGAGTCCTGGTGGCACAGTGGTTAAGAGCTTGGCTGCTTAACCAAAAGGTCGGCAGTTTGAATCCATCAGCTGCTCCTCGGAAACCCTACAGGGCAGTTCTACTCTGTCCTGTAGGGTCGCTATGAGTCGGAATCAACTCGACTGCAACAGGTTTTTCCCTAGTACCTACAAGACTTTTGGTTTTTTTAACTTTCATTCGCGATAAATATAAAATCGAAAACCTTCATTCACTAGGGTGAAAGGGAGAAATTTAAATGATGTTTAGTTCAGCTAGATAGATGTTTAGCTAATTCCAGTGAACGTTTCCGTTTTTAAGAATTTTTTGCAGACAACCTGGGTGATTTCCTCATTTTTCTCCGCCGCTTTGCTGATGACATCTTGGAGACGTCAGCAGATTCCCTGGAGCATGTCCTTCACTTTATCACCATTTTCACTGGAAGCATAGAAAGGTGAAGTGCTGACAACTTGGGCTGTGTCACTGTTTAGAGCTGCAAAACAATCAGAAGACTTCTAAACCAAGAGATAAACAAGCCTGAATCATAAGGGGTTGCCTTCAGAAGTTATGTTAACATTAATGAATCACCTGACCATCCTTATGGGTAGCCAGAAATCCCACCCTTGAGAGGCATAATAAGCAAAGGACTTTGCCCACAGAGAATTTGAACCTGCATATAAGGTACCTGATGGGAATTCCGCTGCTAGTCCCTGGTTAAAATAGTCACCATGATGCCAGAAGCCTTACCGGTTGTAGTCAGGTGCTAATGATCTAACAGTAACTGTAAAATAACGAAGCTTGCTTTTGTGATTCCGGTTAGATGAGCAGTAAATTTAGGTATATGTTCTTTCTGATCTCAAGTCTCTCACTAATAGCTTCTAGCCCTCTTTCCCAAAGGAAGATACTGTGACCAGTAGAGTTGCTTGTCTGAATTTTTGGTGCCTAGGCCAAAGGAAACAGAAACTGTGTGAATAAGTGAAAGTTGACTGCACCAAGAAGAGAATGATCCACAACCTCCCGAACCATGTCAGTGAGAATTAGGTAGAAGCCAGTCCTTCACTGAGCTGAGCAGACCTGATGAGAAATCATTAGTCAACACGTATTTATTAGGCATGCATGGTAAGCATCATGGGTAATAATAATATCCTAGTATTTGCCCTCAGGGAGCTTGGAGAGGTAAGTTTAACCCAGATGAAACTGTCAAGAGAATAATAAGCAATAAATAACATCCTATCATAGAGAAGTGAACAGAATAGTTAATCACTATGTGGAAACTTTAGTACTTAATCTCAGACTCATTAAGCTGTCTTCTCGAGTTAAACAGTCTGCCCTGCATTATCCCCCGAAAACTAACAAATCAGAACTGCAGAAGTGGATCCTGTTTTTTCCTGTAATGGTGGTATAGGATATTTTGGCTCCTTAGGTAGAGAAGAACAGAGTTAATAACGTTGGGACTTAAGTTTTCTTCCTGCTCACCTTGCTTTCCGCCCTCTTGGCAGGATGAAGAATCCCCATCTGAGGGCCAAACTTGCTGAGGTTTTGGAAGCAGTGATGCCCCACCTGGATCAGACCCCAAATCCTTTGGTATCCAGTGTATTCCACCGGAAACGTGTATTCTGCAACTTTCCGCATGCACCCCAGCTTGCAGAAGCTCTCATTAAGGTCTTTGTGGACATTGAGTTTACAGGTAAACCAGTCATGAAGCCCGACTTCAGAACTGGGAAACTAATACCAGTGGAGTTTTTTGAATGTCAGAGAAATACCATCAGCCATCATTTATTGAATAACTACTATGTGCCACGCTTAATGCTAAGTGTTTTTTTTTAATGTTATTAATTTGGCACCACCTAGAAAGTTTTACTTTGTTATCCCCATATTACATTTGAGGATACAGATGCTCCAAAAGGTTAAATTATTTGTTCATGTCATACAACTAATGCTAGAACCAAGGTTAAAACCCAGGTCTGTTTCACCTAAGAAACATATATACTCCTACCAACTTTGTTATATTGTTTGATCAAATTCGTACTCACACAAATTAAGCTGTCCAGTTAAGACCTAGGTACTTATTTTTCTCTGCCTCAGAATTGTGGAATAGTGCATAATGAGCCAGTATGCTGATTGAGTCTTTGATCTTAACCAGACTAACTGGTAACAATCTAATTGTTAGGTTAAGAATATGAGCAGGCAATATTGTTGATGTGTTGTGAGATTGTTAACCATTATCGTAGGACAACGTGTAGTAACTGTTAAATGAGAAACTATTTTGTTTTGTAAGCCTTCATCTTAAGTGAGAATAACAGCACAATTGGAAGAGCGTAGTCAATGTCCCTGAACTGTGCATGTAGAAATCTTTGAAATGGTGTATCTTTGGCTATGTGTATTTTCACCAAAAAAAGAAAGGTTGAGAAGTTAGAGGGTTGACATGTTGTGGGGTTGTTAACCAATGTCATAAAACAATATGTGTACTACTGTTTCATGAGAAACTATTTGTTCTGTAAGCCTTCACCTGAAGTACAATTAAAAAAAAAAAAAGAATATGAGCAGGCAGCATTCCCTTCTTCTCTTGGTCTTTTGAGATCTAATCCTGGGCCTGCATGTTTGAGTAAACAGCACCCCATTTCAGCCAGCTTATTTAAGATACGTTAGGCAATTATTTAAGGCCTATTTTTAAAGGATCCTACTATCCAATGAAAGGAGCCCTGTTGGCACAGTGGTTGAGCATTAGGCTGCTAACCGAAAGGTTGGCAGTTTGAACCCACCATCCACTCCATGGGAGAAAGACATGGCAGTCTGCTTCCATAAAGGTTTACAGCCTTGGCAACCCTACAGGGTAGTTCTCCTCTGTCCTGTGGGGTCACTAGAGTCAGAATTAACTCGATGGCAGTGGGTTTGGTCTTTTTACTATCCAGTGGTATCTGTAACTGACATTTAAAGAAGCATTTAACATTTTACCAACTGCCTTTCAGTATTTGAATTCTATCTTTGTCACTTGCTCATGTCTATAAAATGAGTGGAAGTGAAGATTAAGTGAGGTAGTTCTCTTTTCTCACTTAATTATGAGCAGCACATGAAGTGCATGTAATCTTCATGATACATAAGGAGCTGCATGACTGATTATAAAGGTATTAAATTCTCTGTTTTCATATCTGAGGAAGTGGAAGTTGAAAAAGGTTAAACGACTTACTCAAGAAGAATCAGAATGAAAACCTAGGTTTTCTGACTCCAAATCCTACGTTCTTTCCTCTATTGTATGACCCAACTTGTAGATCTCTATTAATACTTAGGTGTGTCAACACCAGTATGAGCTGGTTTTTAGCTCCTGACCTGATTTCAGAGTTATCAAGAACCAGTTAGACCAGGAGCAAGAGGGAAGGGAAAAGGAGAGGTTAAGGGTGATGGAAATATCACATTGATTAAGGGTAGTGTTGCACAGCTGATTATTGTAATTGCTGTCAGTAAGTTGTACACCTCTAAAAAGTTGAGTTGGCAAAAGTTGTGTGATAGATAACATTTACAACAATGACAAAAAAAGAGTAGCTGCTGAGCCTGCTTATGTACAACCAGAAACCTCGTGGGATTTGGTTCCTTGATTTGGAGGTTTAGGGCTGTGGTTTCATGCCCTAATAACATGTTAATTGGCTTAATAACATGTTCAGTGCCTCTGTTCTACCTCCTGGTTCATTACGTAGTGCCTGGGGTCTTAAAAGCTTGGAAGCAGCCATCCAAGGCACAATTGGTCTCTATTCGCATGGAGCAACAGAGGAAGAAGGAGTATCAGGAACAGAAGGAGGGTATGAAATGTGTTGGTAATTGCCTCCATGAACAACTGCCTCCTTTGCCATGAGAGCAGAACTGGATGGTACCCAGCTACCATTATTGAACGTTTTGATCAAAGATTCTATAGAAGAATCCTGATCAAAAGGGGGAAAATGCAGAACAGAATTTCAAACTTTCATGGACTCCAGACTTCCTGGAGCCATGAAGGTTGGATGAACTCCTGAAACTTGCCCTGAGATAGTCTTTAAACCTTAAACCAAAAATGTCCCTTGAAGTCTTCTTAAAACCAAAGAGTAGGTTAGTTTAACTAGCTTAGCTTTTATTTTACAACTCGGTCCTTGTCCCTTGTTGAATAAGGTGTTCTTTATATATATCTGTCTCCTTCCTCTTCTGTCAGGACACTTGGCCACAACTCTTGGTCTTTAGAAATTCCCAGTATTCTTGACGCATTCAGAATGAAAGAATGCCTACACATAGACATAAGCCCTTACTCTTTGTCTGATAACACCACTTTTTTTTTTTGTCTTTTTTTTTTATCGTACTCCAGGTGAAGGTTTACAGAACAAGTAGTTTCTCATGAAACAGTAGTACACATATTGTTTTATGACATTGGTTAACAACCCCACGACATGTCAACCCGCTCCTTTCTCGACCTTTTTTTTTTTTTTTTTTTTGGTGAAAATATACATAGCCAAAGATACACCATTTCAAAAATGTCTGCATGCACAGTTCAGTGACATCAACTACGCTCTTCCGATTGTGCTGCTCTTCTCACTTTAGATGAAGGTTTACAGAACAAAACAGTTTCTCATTAAACAGTTAGTGCACATGTTGCCCTATGACAATGGTTAACAACCTCACAACACATCAACACTATCCTTACTCAACCTTGGGTTCCCTATCACCAGCTTTCCTGTCCCCTTCTGCCTTCTGGCCCTTGTCCCTGGACTGCTGTGCCTCATTAGTCCCATTTGGTTTTATGGGGCTGTCCAGTCCCCGGCTGAACGGTGAACTTCGGAAGTGACTTCACCACTGAGCTAAAAGGGTGTCTGGGGGCCATACTCTCAGGGTTTCTCCAGTCTCATTTAGGCCAGTAAATCTGGTCTTTTTTTTTGTGAGTTAGAATTTTGTTCTACATCCTTCTCCAGCTCTGTCCAGAACCCTCTGGTTGTGATCCTGCTCAGAGCAGTCAGTGGTGGTAGCCAGGCACCATCTACTGATAGATAACACCACTTTTGCTGATTTTTTGCCCTTGCTTTATGGTAGGAGACCCTCATCAATTTGAACAGAAGTTTAATTACCGCCGTCCCATGTATCCCATCCTAAGGTACATGTGGGGGACAGAGACCTATCGGGAGAGCATTAAGGTAAGAGAGATTTGGTGAAACTAGTTCCTTCAAGTAAGCCCCAGTGAGTTGTGGTTCGGTACTAAAATGGTTTTCTCTTGGGGTGGGACTTACAGGATCTGGCTGACTATGCCTCTAAGAATTTAGAAGCCATGAATCCCCCACTTTTCCTCCGCTTTCTTAATCTCCTAATGAATGATGCCATCTTCCTTTTGGATGAAGCCATACAGGTAAAAAACAGATTTAACTGCCCCTATACCATCAAATTATCGTCAGTATATGCTTTTTACCTTTTAATCCTAATAGAGCAATCTTTATGCCCCTAATACCAGTCTTGAACACCAAAAATTTGTGAGTAGTACTGTACCCCTGAGCTTGCCATTACAAAGCTTTCTAGTTTATTGTTACATTAGAGACCAAGATCAAGTATCATTGAAGCTTCATGGGCTAGGATTGATACTTTGGCAGAGTTGAAAAGAGTATGATGAAGCCGAACTAAGATGCATGCATGATGGAACTAGTTAAACAGGTCAGCACAACCAAAAGAAATCAGGATCTTGCTTTTGGTCAGTGACTTTTAGCTTTTTCCCATCCAACACATCAGTAACAGTGGCTCACTAACACCCTCTCTGAAAAGATTCTGACTTTTACACCACTCCTTGAAAAAAATTCTGTCTTAGGTTATTTTTCTATATAAAGACTTCCAATTTGTCATTATTCTTCATCTTTATATGCCTCCCAAATCCTTAGCTATATTGTGAAATAAGGGTTTCACAAAGTCTAAACTCAGCTCCTTGGGTGTATCATTTCCTTAACCATCTCTTAGATGCGAACCTTCCGTAGAGCAACCTTTCGTCCCCAGATAAGAGTAAGATAGGTAGAACAGTGACTCAAAGGGAGATGAAGCAGGTAAATCATGACAGTAGCCTGTTCAACAGCCACGAGGTCCTGTTATTAATTAGCAGTCCTCAGAGTAACATATTTTACTTGTGAGAAAGGTTTGATCTCCTGCTTCCTTTCATAAGCTTATACTTTAAAGTGTAAGATACATTTTTTCTATAAGATACTGCAAAACCTCAAGAACAAAAAGACAAATAACCAATCAAAAAAGGGGCAAAGGATATGAACAGGCACTTTGCCAAAGAAGATATTCAGGCGGCTAACAGACACATGAAGAAATGCTCACGATCATTAGCCATTAGAGAAGTGCAGGTCAAAACTACGATGAGCTATCATCACACCCCAGCAAGGCTAGCTTTAATCAAAAGAACACAAAATAGTAAATGCTGAAGAAGTTGTGAAAAGACTGGAACACTTATACACTGTTGGTGGGAATGTAAAATGGTACAGCCACTTTGGAAATCGATTTGGCGCTTCCTTAAAAAGCCAGAAGTAGAAGTAGCATATGATCCATCTATCCTGCTCTTTGGAATATATCCTAAAGAAGTAAGAGCCATCACACAAATAGATACATGCACACCC